TATATATATATATATATATGTGTGTGTGTGTGTGTGTGTGTGTGCGTGCGTGCGTGCGTGCGTGCGTGTGTGTGTGTGTGAATGCGCTGGTTTGTAGAGAGGGGATACAGTGGCCAGCAGGGGCTTTTCAGTTCAGATGAGGATGAGCACTGGGTTTGTTTAGGCCTCGAAGGATCATGGGAGAATACAGCATTTGTTCAGAGAACACTTCTAGATGTTCAAAATAAATTGTCTAATGGGGCATCCATGTTTACACAGAAAAAAAATAGATGGTAAACACAGAGGGCATTTTAGAGAAACATCTTTGACAAAGTTGATATATCAATTAAATAAAAACATTAATTAGAAAAATAGCATTGACTATTGAACTAGCATTGACAAAGCAACATCTGAGCAATACAGTTTTCTTCTAGGTTCCTATGGCCACATAATTCAATATTTAAAGTTTTATTAAAACATATACTACTGTACACTACTTTTTTGAAAGAAGTCTATCATGCACAGCAAGGGTGTATTTATTTGACCAAAAATTCTATAAAACAGTAATATTGTGCAATATTATTATAATTTAAATGATTTAAAAATAACTTTTTTCTATTTGAATATATTGTAAAATGTAATTTATTGCTGTGATCAAAGCTGAATTTTCAGCATCATTACTCCAGTCTTCAGTGTCACATGATCCTTCAGAAATCAGTATAATATGCAGATTTGCTGTTTAAGAAACATTTATGATTATTATAATCAATGTTGAAAACAGTTGTGCTGCTTAATATTAGTGTTAATATTAATATTATTGTTATTGTTAATAGTAATACTAATATTATTGCTAATATTAATATTATTGTTATTGTTAATATTAATACTAATATTATTGTTCATATTAATATTATTGTGTTAATATTTTTTGATAAATGTTTTGGTATAAAAAGTTCCAAAGAACAGCATTTATTTGAAATAAAATGATTTTATAAATAAGACATTATAAGGCATTATAATTGTTTAATTTATTGTTACTTTTGATCTAGTTAATACTTCTTTGCTGAATAAAAAATAAAAAACTTTACTGACCCCACATTTAACATTTAAACAGCAATTTTAATTTAATCAAGTAAGGGGCCAGATTTTAATCATGAAAGTGACCAAACAAAATGAATATCAAGCTAATGTTGTTATTTTTAGTTACATTTACATATTTTCTTACATAAATTTCCTAAAGTGGAAAGAGCACTTGGTATGATTAGTATCTTCAAAACCAGTTGGTTGACACATTCATTTGCTTAATTAATTTCCCCATCAATTTGGTTTCACTATTTATGACTGATGGTTTCCTACAAGCACATATACTGTAAGTGAGAGAGAAACAGATGTGGCAAAGATAACAGAAACAGAACAGTTTTTTAAATATTTGACTATTTTTCTCTTTGTTAGAATTTGACTCTTTTCACATCATTTTGTTAAAGAAGACATAAATAAACACACTATATATAGCGTGGAGCTGGATGGACACATGCGCTACGTGAGGAGCAGTGAAAGGCAAACTGATGGACTGCTTCCTGTTTACAAGAGGAGGTTCAGTTTCTCCATCTCCCCAATCTGATTTTTTGTCCCCCATCACTCTCATCTCAGTGGACATGGATGAGAATAAAGAGTCATTGTACACAACATTTGTGTCTCGCATATAAAAATGACTTTTATTATGAATAATGCAATTTTTATATGTTAATATAGACACTGTTCTGAACACAACTACAAAAAAAATCCAACTTTATTTTAATCGTTTTTCTTTCTTTTATTTCTTTACGTCATTGAGGGGTTTTTTTCCAGCTTCTCCTTGCTGTATTAAAACCAACCATGAAAAAAGATAACAGAAACAGAACAGTTTTTTAAATATTTGACTATTTTTCTCTTTGTTAGAATTTGACTCTTTTCACATCATTTTGTTAAAGAAGACATAAATAAACACACTATATATAGCGTGGAGCTGGATGGACACATGCGCTACGTGAGGAGCAGTGAAAGGCAAACTGATGGACTGCTTCCTGTTTACAAGAGGAGGTTCAGTTTCTCCATCTCCCCAATCTGATTTTTTGTCCCCCATCACTCTCATCTCAGTGGACATGGATGAGAATAAAGAGTCATTGTACACAACATTTGTGTCTCGCATATAAAAATGACTTTTATTATGAATAATGCAATTTTTATATGTTAATATAGACACTGTTCTGAACACAACTACAAAAAAAATCCAACTTTATTTTAATAGTTTTTCTTTCTTTTATTTCTTTACGTCATTGAGGGGGTTTTTCCAGCTTCTCCTTGCTGTATTAAAACCAACCATGAAAAAACACCCATTTTATAGAATCACGCTAATATATGCTCTCAAGATCATATGTGTGTAGGACTGCAGGCACGTGGGGTTTTATGAGAGATTTGCACCAGGAAATGATTCGGGTGCAGCTGCACACACACACACACACACACACTGCAGCAGATGAGAGCATCACTGTGGTCTACCAATGGAAAGTTCAGTTGACAGATGGGAAAAGGAAGAGAAATTTTAGATGTGTGGCAGATATGTGTGCTTTGCATACATAATAGTACGTTCACAGCGAGGGACTCGTCCCGTCAAGGTTTAGGCATTGCGTATGTTTACTACAGAACTCACGAGACTTAACAGAAAATGCTATCTTTGTCTCCAAAAAATCCTTAGGAGGAATAGATGTGAAAATTGTTGCTATAAAGTGACAGATTTACTTTGAGACTGTTTTCACTCAGAAAATGCTAGTAAATTTTACAAATAATTACAAAGAAATGGCACACTGAATTACACATGCAATTCTGAAGAAGAAATGTTGAAAGACTGAAATAGTTATTTTCTTGTAAAAATGCACTCCTATATTGTTTGTTTCAATATTTTATTTATTTATTTTTACAGTGTATAGAGCTATAAATTGTATGTGGATAGAATCAGATCAGGTCATTGATCTTAGAAATATTTGATGAGAAACATTCATTGAGATCTCTTGACTTTTAATGTCAGACTTTGGTATCACGGCAAATCTGAGCACAGTAAAGATTGCTGAAATCTCTTCTGAGTCTGAATGTTGAGATCTTGAGATCATGATAAAAATCTGAGGAAGTGGAGATCTGAGGAAAAAGTGTCCATTTGCTTTCCATTTCATTTCACTGATGTCTAGGAGAAACAATTTAGATATTAAAGAGATCTCTTTTGCCATTTTCTTTCCTATTTACAGTGGTCCTAAACCAGGGACCCGGAGCCCACTGGGGGGCCTCGGCAAGTAAGGGAGCTTCAAGATTAAAAATAATACATAATAAGCTAAAACTAAAAATCAAGATAGGTCTTATTTCATTTCAGCACCTCAACACCCATTTTTCTTTGACAAACCGGACTCATTTTAAAAGTGTGATTTCTAGACATGGACTTGCTTTTGCAAAATTGTTCTTGAGACTATTAAAAATGTTTTTGACACAAAGGTTCTTTCTGTTCACCAAAAGCTTCTTGGTAAACTCAAATTAATTTTTGCAAAAAAAAAAAAAAACTTTTTTTGAAACCATTATTTTAAAAAGTGAACAGGTTGTTTATTTCCTATGAATTCAGTTTTTGATCTTGCATTAAATGTGTGAACCCTAACCTATTTCATATTTGCTAACGGTGAGATAGAATTAGTGTATTATTTACTTAAGAGTTCCTTACCGCTAGAACTTAAAATAACAGTTCTTCTCTTCTTCTCCTTCACCTCTAGTTGAAGCCACACCATCAGCATGGGAAAGCAGAACAGCAAGCTCCGTCCCGAGGTGATACAGGACCTGTTGGAAAACACAGACTTCACTGAGCATGAGATCCAGGAGTGGTACAAGGGCTTCCTGCGGGACTGTCCCAGCGGCGCGCTCAGCATGGAGGAATTCAAGAAGATCTACGGCAACTTCTTCCCCTATGGAGACGCGTCAAAGTTTGCGGAGCACGTCTTCCGAACCTTCGACGCCAATGGAGACGGAACAATAGATTTCAGAGAGTTTATTATCGCCCTGAGCGTCACGTCACGCGGCCGTTTGGACCAGAAGCTGAAGTGGGCCTTCAGTATGTACGATCTGGACGGCAACGGATACATAAGCAAGGCGGAGATGCTGGAGATCGTACAGGTGTGTGAGTGTGACTCTCTCGGTTGAAGCATTACAGATGTCTCCTGACAAAGTTAGAAATCCTGTTTCCTCCATGATAAGGTACTTTTACACTGAGAAAAGTTTACAAAAAGAGCAAAGTCATTCATTTTCATAGAAAATGCCGATGCTGAACCTAACAGTCAAACTTCAGTTCATTTCACTCAAATATAGTTCATTGCACTTAATAGAAAAAGTAATGTGAGCTCAATAGCTGATTATATTAAGCAGAACTCAAACTGAATGAGTTACAGATTTCTAGTTCCCAGTATGCTTTGCTTCAGAATCTGTAAGGAGAAGTAAATGTTGAGGTTAAATGCTATTTTATGTGTTTTTGCACGAGGTTAAAGGAACACTCCGCTATTTTTGAAAATAGGCTCATTTTCCAACTCCCCTAGAGTTAAACAGTTGAGTTTTACCGTTTTCGAATCCATTCAGCCGATCTCCGGGTCTGGCGGTAGCACTTTTAGCTGTAGCTTAGCATAGATCATTGAATCTGATTAGACCGTTAGCATCTCGCTCAAAAATGACCAAAGAGTTTCTATATTTTTCCTATTTAAAACGTGGCTCTTCTGTAGTTACATCGTGTACTAAGACCGACAGAAAATG